AAGTCATGCTCACAGACCTCAAGTGGCACTTGAGGCCTCACACAGGTCCTGCAGTGACACATCCCTGTTGCTACCCCTTTTTACTGTAACAGCTCAGAACTGTAGCAGCAGAACTCCCCAGCTCAGTCAGTGCTTCCACTCATTAAACAGCTTTCATGGAGCAGTCCCAGGAACGCTGCCCTTCTTTTTCCCACCACTGAGTTCCCAGAGCACAGCACAATGCACTGCTGGCTCAGCTTTAGCTCCCAGTGGTCTCCATTGTTTTAACTACTAAAGGATACCTAACAGATTATTTATCTGTTTGTTAACAGACACTACCCGTGCAAATAACAGAGACCTTTCTATCCAGAGGAAAAATTCACATTGAACATGCAGGGAAATGTGGCCCACCTGCACAAAAACATTTTTGTTCCAGAAACATCCCACTGCATCTGATTCTGGATATATACTATGATCCTACATGATTTTGCTACATTCTAGCAGAGATTTAGTATTTCTGACATTTTATCAGATGAGTTTTTAAACACTATTCTTGATGCTGTGCTGTTTAGCCACAAAATAAAGTTGGGGGGAATTGGAATTTTTTTTCCCTAAAAGGAATTGTCAAAGATGTAATGATTTTCTCAGCTGGGGATGTAGTTTTATCACTCTGGCACTGACGCACTTACAGAAGAAAATCATTAATTTTATCACTCTGACACTGACACACTTACAGAAGAAAATCATTAGTTGCTTAATATTCATTTGATCACCACTCTCACAGGTCTATACAAGTCTCTTAGGATTGTCATTCTCACCTTAACCTCTTGTTCTGAGCTCTGTTCACCTGATCTCTAACAGAATCACCTCTGTGCCTTCGTCCTGCTTGCCCTGCAGCACACCTGCAAGTCTGGCATCTGCCTGCTTTTAATTACCTAGTAAATAAATGCTGCTGACATACACAATTACAGCAAAGACACTCCCATGCCTTTTCAAATATGTAGTTTTAGGAGCCATAACATGGGTTTGAATACTCCTCTCAATGACACAACGAAAACAAAGACTTTGTCACCCAGTGTTAGATGTTTCTGCAGACCTTGTACTTTTGCCCAGCTACACAGACAGACTGTTGCAAACACGCAGCATGGGCCCTTGCAAAACAAGCCCTAACTGTTCACATGTGCTAAGATTTACTGCTATGAGAACACATAAATCAGAAACAGGCCAAAATTACTTCCTTGCTTTAAGGGCAGTTGTTTTACAGCAGTTCAGTGAGAACTCATCTGAGCAGTGCCAATTATGAGCCTTAAGCAGAAGGAAAAAAACAAAGTCATGGGTGAACAACAGCCAGTTTTGGACAAATAGCTACTTCTCATCACCCAAAATTTGGAAGACGAAAGATTGTCCTTTTCATTCCCATTTTCCATCTTTGACCTAAATTTGTCCAGTTACTTGTTCTCCAACACGATCCTCTCCCTAAGAATGGATCAAACAGGACAGTCTCTCTGTTTAACCACTGTGCATTCAATACTGCAGGTGTGTGAATCTTTCTAAACAACCCTTCTTCACTGCACTGTGTGGCAGAACTGCACACACAGCATCTCTGAACACCAGGCAGGGAGCAAAAGGGAAGGGACAAGGTCTGGGAGATCTGGGAGTCTTCAGCTCAGACACAGAAGCACTCCATCAGCACCATCAAACAGCATATTATGTATCAAAACAGGGTTAACACAGTTGTTTTACCGGATATCAAACGCCTTCACGTAGGGATTGATACTGGAAACTCGGATGGTGAGGAACTGCACAGGCACGTTTGAGTCTGGGGTGAGTTCATGCTGTCTGGAGTCTATCACCGTCAAATGAATGTCCTGCTGCTGGGCCACGTGTAAACAGTAGGTGGTCACTTTAATCACCCATGTGTCTGTAACAATCACCCTTGCTCCTGGGGCTCCAGTGGCAAATTTGTCAATTCTCCTGAATTCTGTATTGATGGAGGAGGCTACTGCCCTCCAACCTGACTGCGGGAGAGCATGGACAGCGAGTGTTCGGGCTAACGGGTGATTATTCCAACCCTTCCGTGACCAGTAGTACGCCAGGGCACTGGTGACTGCCGGAAGGAGAACTGCGAAGAAGAAGAAAGTTTTCCATTCTTTTGAAGCCAGGTAGAAAAAGCAAAGATGTTTTTCAGGTGCAGCAAAGCACATGCCGAGGTAATAACCTGCAAGGGAAAAAAAACCAAATTTGCTTTCAGAAACCAGTCAAGTACACACATCAACACATACCCCTAAATCATACAGTATCTAACCAGGGAGCTCACCTCCAGGAGAGCTACTGTACTTCTGGATGACTTCAAATTTAAGCCCCTTGTCTCAAGCAATTTGAGGTAAATGCTTACGCATTACTGATTTTTACCAGTATTGCATAGCTAAATGAAGCTGATTTGAGTCTGCAGGTTGAATAGTTACTTGTAAGATGCCAATTTTACCAGAATTATATAGCTAAAGGAAGGCGATTTGAATTTGTTGAATAAAATTACCTACGAGATAATACTTTTACCAGAATTATATAGCTAAAGGAAGGCAATTTGAATTTGTTGGTTGAATGAAATTACCTGCGAGATGCCACTTTTATCAGAATGATATACCTGAAGGTGATCTGAATTTGCTGAATAAAATCACCTGTGAGATGCCACTTTTGTCAGAATTATATACCTAGATGGAAGGCAGTTTGAATTTGCTGGTTGAATAAAATTACCTACGAGATGCCACTTTTACCAGAATGATATACCTGAAGGAAGGTGATACGAAATTGTTGAATAAAATTACCTGCGAGATAATACTTCTACCAGAATGATATATCTAAAGGAAAGTGATGTGGATTTGAATAAAATAACCTGCGAGATGCCACTTTTGCCAGAATTATATGGAATCATATGCCTAAAGGAAGATGACTTGCATCTGTAGGCTGAATAAAACTACCCTTGAGACGCCAGAACGACATACCTTCAAGAAGATGCTTTGAATCTGTTGAACAGCATTACCTGCAAGGCGCCACTTAATTTTCAGCAGACCTACGTGGCTAAAGGACGCCCAAGCTGAACTCCCCGGTCAACCGAAACGCAACTCGGGGTGCAGGGCCGGGGTGTGCAGGGGGCAGGACTCACCGAGGGGCAGCAGGGAGTGTGCCAGCAGCGTGCCGGTGCTGCGCCGCAGGTGGTACTGCACGAAGGCCGCGTCCTCGCTGCCCAGCCAGGCCGAGAGCAGGCTCTGCACCGTGAGCCCCGCCGAGCGCACCTCGTCGGGAGGGAACACGAAGCACACGGCGAACACCACGTAGGCCAGAGTGAAGGTCACCGCGGGGCTCTCCATGCTGCGCCCCTCCCCGGGCACGGCGGGCCCCGGGCGATCCCGCCGCGCCCCCGGGGTGCTCCAGGGGGGAGCGGTGACTCCCAGCGCTCCAGCGACACTTCCCGCCGCAGCCCCGGATGCCGGGGCGGGGACCGGCAGTGCGAAGGGAGGCGGGTCCCGTCCCTCTATCCGGCGGGTCCCTCCCTCCATCGGCTCCCTGCCTTCCATCCATCCGTTCCCGCCCCTCCATCCTTCCGCGCCTGCCGGGCCACGGGATCCGGACATCTGGATCAGGACATCGCCCTCATCCCGCGCCTGCCCAGCCTGGCCGGGACACGCAGCCGCTCCCCGGGGCCTTCAGGCTTTGTACGAGGTCATGCTCCACGGGCCTGGCAGAAGGGACCGATTCCTGTTCCTTACAAACGTGAAAGAGCTCTCTTGTACGATGATGGCAGTGCCCCTCCGAAGCAGGGAAATGGACTGTTTTGCTTAAGGGTCCGAAAAAACTTCCCTTTGTTTTTCTTTGTCTATTTCATGTCACATTTTCTAATATTTTTTTCTAACATATTCTAATATTTTTCCTAATACTTTATCATATTTTCTAACATTTTCTATTATTTTTCTAATATTTTCTGATATTTTATTTTTATATTTTCTAATATTTTTAATATCTTCTAATATGTTTCCAATGTTTTTCTAATATTTTCTTTTTAAAAGAATAGGCTTTCATATTTTTCTAATATTTTCTAATATTTCAAGTGATAAAGGTCACAGGACAGGCATGGAAGATCTTAAACGGCCTTAAAGGGAGACAAATTTTAATATATCTTTGTACATCCCCCCCTCACCACCAAACAGTAAAAGGATCGTTTAACTGGGATCTCTGGTTACTACTGAAACACAAATAATAACTCTTAGCCACAAATAATAACTCTTAGCCACAAGATTTGCTGTTTCTCATGGAATGTAACAAACCCCTTGCATGAACCCTGTAATTATCATGAATTTCCATATTTGTCTCTTTAGGAGAAAGGGGAGATTGTGTAACTGGAAAGGCACAGCAGAGAAAGCATCATGTGATGATGTACACTACTACTGACAGGGAAGCAAGTCCACTGGAAATGCCACCCATGGAATGTGACATCTTAACGCTGGCAGGTGGTTGATGTGTTACTGCTGTGATGGGAGATCGGGAATTCATAGAGGTTTTAGTGACTCTTTGAGATGGTTACATCAGTAAAATCACGCTTAGATTCCGGGCTTCTTCCTTCATTCTTCAAGCCGTCCTTGTTAGCAAGTTTATTGTTTTAGCAACCAGTCTGTCCACTCAACAGTAAGGCCTCTTTTATTTCGCTGAATGGGCCACGAAGCTCAACGATAGAAAGCAGGCCGCGAAGCAGCAAGTTTTCTTTCGGCGATTTCATGCGAGAAGATTATTGAAAAGCAGAACCGCAGAACGGGTTGGGAGGGGCCTTAAAGCTCATCCAGTTCCAGCCTCCACTACCATGGGTAGGGACGCTTTGCGCTAGGTCGGGTGTGGCGGTTGGGAATGGATAAAGCCTAGAGGGGGATCCGCCCCGGAGGGGCGGATCCCCCTCTAGGCTTTACCCATTCCCAACTCAGGTTAATCCCCCCTCAGGTTAATCCCCCCTCAGGTTAATCCCCCCTCAGGTTTTACCCCCCCTCAGCCCTGCAGTGCCCGCCCTGCCCCGCTCGGGGGCGCTCCGCTCGGGGGCTCAACGGCCACGCGTCGGGCCGGCCCCGCTCCGCTCCCTCCTCCCCCGTGGGCGCTTGTTCTGATTGGCGGGCGCGTCCCGAGCGCCGCTCGCTCATTGGCGGGCCGGGGCGGCCGTTGCGGTTTGAAATCGCGCGGCGGGGGCGGAGGGAGGGAAGGGTGGGGGGGAGCAGTGATCCGAGCGCGCGCGCTGCCTCATCCCAGCGCCCCGAGGGTTCCCGGGATCCGCCGGCAGGTACGGGGAGGGGGCTGGCTCGGGGACCCACTTTGTGTGTTTGAGAAGCTGGAGGTGGCTGGGGCGCGTGTGTTTTGAGGGGCTGGGAGACCCCCTGTGTGAGTTTGGGAGGTCTCGGGGACTCCTCTGTGGGTGTGGGTGGGCTTGGGGTGGGGTGGGGGATAGGCTCGGGGATCCCTCGGTGAGCGTGGGGTGGGACTGGGGAGCGGTTTGAGGATCCCTCTGTAAGCCTGGGGTGCTGTGGGGTGGGGAAGGGCTGGGGAGGGAAGCTTGGGCGGTGGTGTGGAGCTGGGGATGTGGAGACTTGGGGACCACTCTGAGCCTGAGATGGTTTGGGGCTGCCGTGGGAGGGGGCTGTGTGTTCTGAAGTGAGCTCAGGGACCTCTTTTTGAGGTTGAGGGGGCGGGGTGGGACTGGGGAGGAGCGGCTGGAGGACCCCTCTGTGAGCTTGGGGTGCTGTGGGGCTCGTGGGGGAGCTCAGGGATGACTTTGCGAGGGTGGGGGTCGTGCTCGGGGACCCCTCTGTGGGCTTGGGGTGGGGTGGGACCGGGGGCACCTCTGGTCGAGGGGTCTTAGGGGCGTTTCTGTGAGCTTCGGACGAAGAGATTTGGGGGGAATTTCTGTCAGTTCAGGGAGGAAGCAGAGGCAGGAGCTGGGGGTAATGGGAGGGGGGCGTCGAGGGTGGAGCTCAGGTGCTCCCCCATGAATTCGGGGATGACTTGGGGATCTTGGGGAGCATCTCTCTGTGTTTTCAGGATGATGTGGGGCTGTTCGGGGCCTGGGGTGATTCAGGAGTAAAGAGGGGTTGGAGGAGGCTTGTGTGTTTTTTGTTGTGTTTTTGTTTGTTTGTTTGTTTTTTGTTGTTGTTGGTTTGAAGTTTGTTTTTGTTGTTGTTGTTGTTGTTTGTTTGTTGTGTTTTTTGTTTTGTTTTTGTTTTTTTTAACTTAAATCACGGCTCGGTGCAGTGGAGGGCAAGGCATGGTGCTGCCCGGAGAGCCGGCACAGCCTTCCCCGGCCTTGCTGCTCCTCCCCTGCAGTCAGGGGAAGGTGACTGAGAGAGTCAGTTAACCAGGAGAGTGTTTATTTGTTCTGAATATGTTTGCTCTAAACACATGTGTGTATATGTAACAGTCAGCTCTGTGTCAATCTGTATGGAAATATTCCCAGCACGTACTTTGCCACGAGTGAGCGCTCTGCATCTCTGCTGCTGGAGGAGTTCAGGAGGATAATTAAGTAGAAAAATTCCATCCTTGCCCTGCATGTTCAGTGGCCTTTTCAGGCATTTGAGACCATGTTGGTGTTTTGGATGTTTCGCCCCGTATTTGTTAAACAACAGATTCTTGCCGTGAAGCCCCCACTTTACAAATTATAGGTACCTGAGGTTTGATTACCTGATGTCACTGAATTTGTGCTTATACTCAAATACAGAATGATGGGTTACTGCTTGTGCCCAAATAAATATTCTCCTAAAACTAGGAGCAGTTTTGTTTTTGTGAACTTGAATAGAATCATGGAATTGTTTGGGTTAGAAGGGACCTTGAAGATCATCTAGTTCCAAACCCTCTACCAAGGGCAGGGACACCTTCCACTAGATCAGGTTGCTCAAGGCCCTGTCCATCCTGGCCCTGAACTCTGTTTTGCTCTAGTGGGAGAACTTGCTGGCTTTCACAATACTTGCCTTGGACACTGACCACTTTAAACAAAGATATGAGTAAAGCCTCCCTTCCCCTTTCACTTTATCACAGCTACTAGCTGATGAACTTGTGAAGTACAATCTAGAGCAAATATTGAGCGCAAAATTTTAAATAAATGCTGAATTGCTTTTCATGATTTAATCTGGGAAAGAAATTTGATTTTTAGATTTAATATCTCCAACTCTAGGTACATGTGGTGTATATATACAGTGTCAATTTATTGGGTATTTTAATGATGTGAATTTGGTTTAGTAATGGTATACAAGTAGCTCTATGAGAAAGCAGAAAAATTCTCCAAGTAAACCTCCCCTACTTATGGAGCTTGTTTTAGAAGGTGTTGACAACTTTATCATGTCCTACAGTTGTTTCTAAAGTAATCACAGTAAAAAACTACTTTGTAAAGATTCAGTTGATCTGTTGTCTCGATTTTAGTTTGGAATGAAAGAAAGCAATGAAGTTTACTTCAAGTTCTAGAAGTGGTTAATGTAAAAGTACTTATATACAAAATAACTTGAGCTAAAGCATTAATATGATGAATAAAGAAGGAATGAAGAAATAGCTAATACAGGCGTGCTTTGCATGCCATTGCTTCTGTAGCCATTGTTTGCATTCCACTGCTGATTAAAAGTTCTGTTGTCAGGCTTGCAGACAAAGTACCAGAGTTCTGTGGAGAGTATGAAGCAAAGTTTCCCATAAGGATTAATGTAAGAGTGAGGAAATGTGTATGGAGGCCTAAGTACAGAAATTTAAATACATAAAGGCAATGAGATTGAAAATGTGACTCAAGATTTTCACTTGGAGTATTCTTGTTACCTCTTTATGCAAGTGAAAACTATCACTTGTAGTCTTTCTGAGCTGATTTTCTGGATTCATCTGGAAAAAGAAGAAAAGATTAGCTATTTGGTCAAATCGAGCATTTGAGATCACTTGGACTGCTTATCCATTTCAGGAAGCCAACATCTTGTCCACTTGATGATACCAATTATCTTGCATGGGTGCTACAAGATAACACATCAGTTCTTATGAAATAAATTGCTTTGATAGCAGTCCTTCAGATAAGTATCTGCACTTCTCGGGTGTCATCCTTCATGGACAGTGATTACACTCAGATCTTCCTTATCACACCTTCTGTTTTTCTTTTCTAAAAAGCAGTTGTAGTATCACCAAGTATTAGTGTTAAACCTTTAAGAACAGAGGGGGCTCCAATGGGAATAAAAGGAAGACAGAGTTGAAGTACCAATGACTTGCCTGGAATATTTAAAATGTGTTCTTTATTTTTAATTTTTCATCCTTAATCTTAGTTGCAGCACAGGCTTTAGTTTCAAGTCCTTCACACTAGTAAGAGTAGATCAGCATATATGATCTACTTAAGCTTGTCCATGTCAAATGTAAGAACAATATTTAAGAAATACCTTTCTAATGACCTTTTTCCTCAGATTTGAAATCAGTAATGTGTCTGCTGCAAAAGATTCTTAAGTACTATGTGTTTTAGAAAAGCAGCATGTGCTCAGAGAGTGCAGGAAAAAACTAAATATTTTGATTCCGGACTCAGATCCTAAACACACCCTAACTAACCAAATTTGGTTTTGCTGTTTGCTGCTGTACAGTGTAGTACTGAGACCCTGTGAGTAAAATAGAGAAGTGATTGTCATGTGCCCTTGCAGAAGTGGTACTTCTGCTTAGCTGGATACCCTGTTGCAGGAGACAGGGCTGTACGTCACGGCTGGCTTGGAAATGAGGGGTTGGGAATGAGGAAATGTTGCAGATGACAGAGCTCCCTTTGAAGGATGGTGGCTTAGTTAGTAAGGGTGTTACGTGAACTGTGGAGGGCATACTATCAACAATGAACTTCTCAGACCCCTACCAAAAGCAGAGGGGCTGTGCAGTGCTGCATTTAGATACTTTTGAGTCTTCTGAGATGATACACTTTTCCATACGAAGACTTTCCGTACTTCCAGAACTCCTTTGAAGCTGTTAGTGTTTGCTAGCCGGTGCCAGGCTGCCAACTCCTCCCATTATCTGGAAGTGCATCTGGCTGACCACACCCTCTCATTCATGCTGTGGTGCTGTGTTTGTTGATGTTCTAGAATGAGTCTGCAGATTTTAAACGCAGAAAATGGAGAAAATGCAGGAAACATTAAGGATGATCTAACAGCAGACGACTGTGGCTTTTTCTTGGCGCCGCCGGAACCTACAGGGAGACCTTCCATTCTACGCCCGTCCCAGAAAGAAAACTTGCCACCCAAAAGTGTGGCAAAAGCAATGAAGGTAAACTTTTGCTTTTGTATTGCTTATATTCTTTCTCCTTCTATCATCTTTGCTACTGAATGCATGAGCTATTTGGAGCTTGAAAAATATCGTGCTCACGTTTTTCCTTTTTCTTCCCCCCGCCCCCCCTTTCTTAAAGGTAACCTTTCAAACTCCTCAAAGAGATCCTCAGACTCGAAAAATCCTAAGTCCTACTATGACAGGCAAACTTGAGACTGCCTTTACGCTTGATGATTGCTGTGAAGACTCGGTGGATGATCTTTTATGTGCACCCTCTGATGCTGAGTGAGTAATGAATTCACTGCTATTTGCTTTAGCTGTGTGGGATGTGCTCAAGCTAACTTTTCCTTATTACAAACCTGTATAGTTAAAATGTAATTTTGTATTTTATGACAAGATGTAAACTACATGAAAGACCAAAATTAATGCTGACTGATGCACAAATTTTTTAAAGGGAACTGTCAATACTTTTAAGAAAAGTTCATCTCAGTTGTAATGTTGAATACTGAACTCTAACTTGTCTGTAACTTGATTTCATAGAGATGACAAGGTATGGATAAATAGCTTAAGAGAAAAGATGCGTCAGGTAGAGAATACAAAACTGTTTCTTACAGTAGGGTTTTCACGTGAGAATGCAACTATTCTGAAGCTAATTCTTAAAGCACAGCCTTAAAAGATATTCTTTTGTATGTTAAGTACTGTTGTGTCTTAAGGAGAAAAATCTAAAGAGATGAATCTTCTGAAGGGTTACCTTCAATTGACACCTTGAGTCAGTGAGTATTAAGATTAAAGAAACTCTAGCAACACAAAGTGAATATAACGTTAAGCACAAGTATAAAAGTTTATGTGCCTTTGCAGTCTGGCAGCCTGGGTCTCCATGGAAGGTGTCTAGAGAGGAGCATAAAATCTACAATGTTTCAATTTGAGGGTGTCATGACAATATTTAAGACATCTCAATGCATATTTTTGTTACTGATTTTTTTTTGCCCCCCCCCCCTTAAACTTGTATAAACACGTGACACTTGTAATTTCCGGTGGCAAGAAATCTTAAGATTTAGCTTTGCCTTCTGCAAGCAAATAGACCCCCTTTTGTTCCTCTTTAACGACCAAATGCTTTCATTTGACACCTATTTTTGTTGTTTGTAAGGGGGGAAGGTGAAGGGTAGGAACACTTTAATCTTCTTTAAATGTAAAAATTTGCTTCAACTGTTTGTTTCCATGTGTAGTCTAGTTTAGAAAAGTACTTCTGAGCTAACCACCACAATTAAATAACTTAATGTTATTTATGCCCCAAACTCATTGCTTGCACAAATAAAGAAAGATTTAGTACTCACAAAGTTCAAGTGAGTTAAAAGGGTCAGCACTGAATTGGTTTTAGCTAGAGCATAATTATGTGTCAACACATTGCTTGTACTGTCCTTTTTTATTTTAAAATGTGAGGATTGGTTTGTAGCAGATAATCTGCAGGGCTCGGTGCTGCTGAAGGGTGTCACTTTTGACAAGTGATGGGCGTTTCGGGCAGGTGTCTCGTTCTTGACTGGCATTTATTAGGTTAAACACTGAAGGAGAGTGGGAGGGACCTGAGTAGTCGGAGCAGCCTGGGGCTGAGCTATTGCAGGGAAGCGGCGCTCAGACCGGGTGAGAAGAACTTCTTCAGCTCTTATCTCCCGCCTTTGCTGTCGAGTTTATCACAGTGGAGTTTTTAGTGAGTGGCTTTTAATCATGTTCTGTTCTTCAGCAGATAAAGATGGCACATAGAAATAAGAACTTTACGGAGGGACAAAACAATGGGAGGAAATCCTGTTTCAGGAAGTAATGGCTTAACTCTCTGTAGTCTGAGGCTAAACTTCAGGAGCTGTGTAGAGTTTAGGGAAATAAAGTGGAGAGCAAAAACTTGCAGGATTCTTAGCAGTAGCAAGTACACAAACTCTTTAACCTGTTTCTTTTGTTAGAGAATCTTACTCTCTTGCTGAAGAAGTATTTTCTTGTATTATCACTCTCCTTTTCAGATCTACTGTTGTGCAGAGCTTGGAGTTTCTGAAGTCCAGGTTCTTTTGGTATGCAGGCCCTCATAGATCAAATGCTGGTGCATACCTTTGAGAGGAAAATTCTTGTCAGAATGACCAGACAAAGTAATGACTAGAATGGGAGAACCTGAATCATGACTTGGTTTGGTCTCAGACATGAGTCTGTCATGAGTCAGAGATGAATCTGCATGAAGATGAATTAGGAGCTGT